GTGATGGTCAAAAAATACAAATTTTCACTTAGGCAAAAATAATAAGTTTAAGAGAGCTATTGTATAACATGGAAACTATAGTTAATAACAATGAATCGTGTACTCAAAAATAACTAACAGAGTTAATGTTAAATGTTCTCATCACAAAAACATAATAAGTATTTGAGGTAATGCCCGGCCTGTGAAAATTAGTTTGATTTGGTCCTTCCACAATGTATGTATGTATGTATGTATATATATACACACACACATACATTATATATGCATACATATATATATCAAAATGTCTTATTGTATGTGACAAGTATAACTTTTTTGAGAATTTTAAAATAATTAAATACATATAAAAAGGATGAAAACAAAAAATGTATATAATATTAGAAAGGAAAGCATAAACATAAGTAGATATACCATGACCATAAAATTTTAATTATTAAATTTCTCTACTATTAGCATAAAGATTGACAAATCAAGTAATAGGGTGGTGGAGAACCAGACTCAATCTTTCCATACGACAAGGTAAAGGTTGGTCAATTCCGCAAATAACACTAATGAAAGTCAATAATATAGATCAAAATATATCACAATCTTAAGCAATATATAAAAATGAATTCAAGATGAATTAAAGACATACTTGAAAATCTGTATAAATTTTTAGAGCAGTAAGGTGTTATGTTTATGCTTTGAAGGTTGTAAAAAATGTATTTAAAATCAACACAAATCAAGGAATAAATGATAAATTAGAATACATCAACATTTAAAATTTTTCCTCCTAAAAAGATGTCCTAATCTGCAAGAAAGTACTTTTAACACATAAACTAGATTAATAGTCATAAAATTCATAAGATTCAAAAATCAAAAGAAAAAAACAAAAAAGTCCACATTTGTGTATACATTTAAGAGAATAATCTCACCCAAAACAAGAGTAAATCCCTATTTCCAAAAAGAATATTTGGGAAAACAGCCTAATATTTAAATATTTCTGTAAATAAATATTATAAAATAGTAATCCACAATAAAACTGAATAAACTGAAGCTACATATCACA